CGATGCACGACGCCGTTGCCAATTACCTCCGGTACGTGTCTGTACCGCGCACTTTGAATGGCTGCATCTGTACAGTAGCTTTTTTTAAATACAATTGGTCACTTGCATCTGTAGCACGCATTCCTTAAGAGTGGTATAGAATTACAGAGTATCTCTTGTGTCCACTGAAGTATTAGCGCGCACTGTATCGTAGTACGTAGGCTGCGTATTCGACACATATTAAAATACAAAATATGAAAACCCGTCCCGATTTTTCAGCGCACACGACACAGTTCCAGGGTCATTTGGCGTACCACTTGGCGGCACTCCACGTACCACTACCGGTACGTGTACCACGGTTTGAGAACCACTGTCCTAGAGCATAGCTTTATGTCAGTAGCTGACATGTATTGTATCCTTTCAAACTTGTTCTAAAGCACTGACATCTAAAATGTTATATGTAGCAATCTAGCTAATCTGTGGATCAATGCAATAGCAGCACAGTTCTTCAGTTGTCCTGTGTCTCAAATGTGGTGAACCAGAGGTTAAATGTGTTACGTATTAATGCATTTACAAAGGAATTAGACCTCAGCTGTTACTCTAAATGGATAAAGAGCAAATATGGGCTTTTTGAATTCTACTGCAGATTAAAGTCTAGTGTAAAACAATTACCATTCCAGCAATGTGATCTTAATTATTTACTTTGTGCATGTTTATCCTTTAGACCACCTGTTAGACTGTACTCTCTGACCTGTTGCATCATGGGACTGTTTCTGTGATCTCCAGGACAGTACTGACCTTTGTATTCTGTGCAGCAGTCAGTCAACCTCCAAGGGGGAGAGACCCTGGTAATGAGTGGCTCCAGCTGTGTGAGAGGTCTAGGAGGGAGGAGGGGGATGGTGTGCTCTTACAAATAGAGCCGAGACTGTCCAGCCTGCAAAGTTGATTAAGAACAAACCAGACTAAAGTACCCGGCCCTTGGGATACATTGGAAGGCTTTGTTTTCCTGATAAAATCCACATTCCAAGCGATAAGAATAATCTTAGCCTGAATTATCAGACCAGAAATGGACCAATGCTGAGCAAACCCCATTGAGAGAGGGGAAAGTGACCTCTTTTGTCCTGTTAAAAATTCATTCAGGGCATGGCAGTATATTACTCCGTATTATTATGGAATACAAGTAAGAAAAAAGTATCAGCCCCTGCACATACAATTTTCTAAAATGGGAGGAAATAAAACTGCTAGTGTTGCTCCCTGCTTAGAGTGTACTGAGAAAGTGTTAATCTCTCCTGTTATGGTTACTTGAGAGGACAGGAAGGAAGAATGGGACAGTTTTAGAGACATTGAATGAGGAAGAGGGTAATACAGAACAGACAGAGCTGAAGATGTTCGTAAATAATAGGTATCCCTATAAATTCTGCCAATATGTTTAATCTTTAAAACTCTGTTTTCTTTAAACCAGCATTGGAATGTTTGAGAACAAACTGGTCCTTGTAAACTGAGTGAACTTAATTCAGGAACAGGTATTCCTGAGGAGAGAGGGTCTGAGGGTTTGATCCAGGCCTTCACCACTATGAATTCTCTGTTGAACACTTTCCTGCACTGTACTGTTTGTCATGTTTGCACTTGTGCAGACTGAAGCTTTGCCTAAAGTCTCTGTGTACCTTCTTTCAGGGTGCGAAGAAGCCCTTTTCAGAGGTCATTAAGGCCAATATTGGAGATGCCCACGCCATGGGCCAGAAACCAATCACCTTTCTCAGACAGGTATGCCCAGAGTCATTACAAGCACACAGGTCATGATATCCTCCTGTCAGGGTACAAAGGTCTCTAGTCTGGTCTTAGTGTCCAGTGTTGTGGGGAGAGGAGACTGGGGAGGGCTGAGTTCTTGAATACAGCCCTCATGGGTAGCAAGGTTTAGAAGGTGTGAATAAAACATCCCTTGAATTAGACCCTGGAGAAAAGGTTGAGGTTAATTCTGTGGATAAATAGTTCACCATATTACAGAGAGATTGGGTAGTTTAGAAGTCATAGGAAAAAAATAGAATTATTGGCCTGTATTGCTGCACCCATTCAAGACGGTGTAACTTCCTGTAAGAAACAGGACTGGTCAGACACTTGACATTCAGACTGATCATTTGGATCTTTGCACAATAAAATGCCGAGCATACTGGCCTGAGCTGTACAGATATCAGTAGTCAGAATTATACATTAACAGTATGTCATGGTCAAAGAGTGTCTGCTGGATTTCACGGGGGGCTGAGATGTCAGCTACTTTGATTAAGCAGTAGTAATAACTGATTTTCGGGGCCTTCATGTTATTTCAGGTTGCTCTTGAAGACCATTTTAAATGTAGGGTTTGAGGTTTAAAAGAATGGCTAAAACTCCGGTTGGCACTGTTCAGCTGAGGTTTAAAGACTCAAGTAGCTGACATTGTAGTAGGATGAGGCACCAGCATGCACTAGGGTTGCATGGGTCTGGAGTGGGTGGCACTGCACACAAGTGTAACTTGGAGTAAATTCCCCCTCTCCATTTTCTTGTTCTCTTTTACTGTATTGTCTTCTGTCTATCTCTCAGGTCCTCGCTCTCTGTTCCTATCCGGATCTCCTGAACGAAGACCATTTCCCAGACGATGCCAAGCTGCGTGCGCGCCGCATTTTACAGGCCTGTGGAGGAGGCAGCATCGGTGAGCACACCCTCCTTTTGCTGGGGCATTCCCTGGGTGGTCACTGTGCTGCGTGGTGACCATGGTTCTCTCTCTCTCTCTCTCAGGGGCATACAGTATGAGTCAGGGGTTGGAGTGCGTGCGCCAAGACGTGGCGCGGTACATTGAGCGGAGAGATGGCGGGATCCGCTCCGACCCCAGCAACATCTACCTCTCCACCGGCGCCAGCGACGCCATTGTGGTACAGTACCCTTCTGTCCGCATGTTGATTTTCCAGCACTCTGACCTCTGTCTGATCCTCTTTTGCATTCTGCTAATTGCTTGTTTGTCAGGCATTGTCTTCGTGGCTGTGATTCTGTATTCCCCTAGTCTCCCTTACATATTTGTGCATCTATATTCCTAATCTGGTTATTTTTCATAATACAATTAGAAAACTGCATTAGAATTTTTAACATTTGTTTGGTAAATGCATAATATGCTTCTTGTAATATTCTTGAATTATCCTGTTGTTGGAGAAAGTTTTCCCTGCTTCCCCTTAAAAGACAGTCAGGAGTCCATCTCATAAGTTAAAAAAAGTTTTTATTTCATGGGCATGGGAGCAAAACACACAGAGATCCTCAGTGTATATTTTTAGAGGTAATTTAACAAGAACAGTCCTTTAATATTTTTTTGTTATCTATCATGCTTCCCTTTGTTTACAAGAATTGCATTGTTCCAAAATCACGTACATCGTCCTACCTTCCTATGTGCTAAAGATAACTTTTTAATACAATTGGTTACTTAGGTTTGTAGCACACATTCCTATATAACGGCATACAATTGCATAGTAGCCCTTGTGTCCAGCATTCTTCCAATCCAGTTCTGAATGTCCACCTTATAAAATATTGCGTCTTCTGCAGGAAAAGTTCATAGAGACTCTCTCAACACTGTAATTTCAGAGATGAGTGGGCTGCATTTATTGACCACTCCCATTTAATAAAAGTACATCTAAACTACTGGGGAAATAAGTACCAAGAGTAATGAAGAGGTGTACTATTTCCTCCCAAATACGGAAATAATGCATATCACAGTTTTATTCCAGCTTTCTTGAAAAAACCAGAAATGCCGCCTTGTTCTCCTAGGATAAGGCTCATTCCACTTGGTGACCCTTCTGTTTCCCTCCATTCCAGAACTTTAATACAACCTGCTTTTTACTTGCTTTACAAGGTCCTACCACTGATCAGTTGAACCATTAAGAAGCTGGTTGTAGCATACGTCTGGAATGGAGTGAGTTGGAAGACATGCCCTAGTGTATCCACTTCCCTTCTTCATGTCACCTTGAGCAATTGTTATTTAAGAACTGTTCTGAATGTGCTTGATAAGGTTCCATGTGAAAGATTTGTTACGCTCAGTAAGGATAGTTTTGTATAGACCTTGGCAATATATTAGCAATGTATTGGTTTACGCTTGGTAAAGCTGTTTGAATTAAAAATAAAAAAATTGTTATAAGTTGAAAATAGACATGTATGGATATGCCTTGAATGAAATGGGAAGCTTGTCAAAATGGACTGTTAAAACTAAAGTTTAATCTTTTTTATCTTCAGTCTCATTCTTCTTTCTAGGGCCATGTCCCAGTATGCATACTTGCAGTCTGTTGCCTTAATATGCGCATTCTCACTCAGGTTTGCAAGAGCTTAGGGCATCCCATGTCTAATTTGGGTTTCACAAGGGTGCTTGTGGGTGTCCTTCTCTGACGTCTGCATCAGAGCTGACTTCTCCGATGGGAATTACCCCAAATTCCTCGTGAAATGGTGACATGTTCATGTTCTAATCTGTTAAAGAGGAGAGACATTGCCATGGAAAATAAAATGTAACTTTTTTTACCTTTTAAAAATCTCATTTTTTTATAAATACAAAATTATGAGACTACTTCAGATTCAAATGTATTCTAGGTTCAAAGTGTTGACATTAAGCTATTATTTCATCACACCATTTCAACTGATGAATATTCATTTACCTACGTTATTTTGTACACGGAATGACGAAGTGTTTAATAGTACAGAGCTGTGAGATATTCACGTTGTTTAGTTTACTTTGCCCACTTTCACTCAATCTTGTTTATTGTGAATGTTCCTCATACTTTCATTTTTGTAGTGGGACAGATGAGATTAAATGTATGTAATTGTACAAAGCTTTGAATAAAAGGAGAACATTATTGCCAGGTTTTCCTTATTTAGTTTAACAAAAGCTCAACATGAATGAACACATTATATCACAACTTTTGTGAAGGGACAGACATGATGACATTTAAGCTTGTCAAACTCAGAATTGGGGAAAAAAAAAGAAATTCTCGTCAATGTGCAATTAGCCACTGGAAAAGAAGCAGCGCGAAAGCAGCAGCAACAACAGAAAGCATTTCGACAGTGAGTTTTTTTAACCAACGAATAATATCATGAGGTATCCCATTACCCTTTTTATAACGGTGCGCCCTTGAATGCTTGTGCACTTTAAGTCCACACTTTCTCTACAACACAGAAGTGTGAACCTGAAGGAAGGGCTTAGTGTGGCATTTAGGAAATGGCCTAGTTTTCCTTTTGCCCTCTCTTTCACGCTCTGGCTCTCATGCTGGATCACCCTCCTTTTCCATTTTGTCCCATACATCCATCTCTGCGTCCTCCAGACGATGCTGAAGCTCCTCGTGTCGGGTGAGGGGTCCACTCGGACGGGAGTGATGATCTCCATTCCACAGTATCCGCTGTACTCTGCTGCCCTGGCAGAGCTGGGTGCCGTACAAATCAACTACTACTTGAATGAGGAGCAGTGCTGGAGCCTGGACGTTTCTGAGCTTCGCCAAGCTCTCACCGCTGCCCGCAAGCACTGCCGCCCGCGGGCACTCTGCATTATCAACCCTGGCAACCCCACCGGTATGCACAGATAAACCCACACATATAACAATTATGGAGTGTTTGGTTTTCATGTTGTTCACGTGTCTTCCTCCTTCTGTCTTGCTGCAGGCCAGGTTCAGAGTAAGAAGTGCATTGAGGATGTGATCCGATTCGCTGCTGAGGAGCGTCTCTTCCTGATGGCTGATGAGGTATGGTGTTGATGTCACAGTGATGTGACTAAGGTGGTTCCCATGGCAGCAATCAGGAGCTCATGGAGGACAAAATGTGGTCACATTAATAGCTAAAGCTATTCTACATACGCTTTTCTACAATTCCATCCCTTCCACACATACACTATCTAAACTAAAGTTTGTTCTTCGGGTACTATTACATATACTTTTATACAAAGTGACTTACATTTGTAACCATTCAGGTGGGTAGCTGCAGTAGTCTGCAAAGGAACTAGTAATAGGTTTATTCCATGCTGAAGAGAGAAGAGAGAAAACACAACGTTTTGGCTGTGAAGCCTTCTTCAGGTGTGAGAAAGACAGGGCAGACAGCAACCATTAATATAGCTGGGCCTGTCAGCACAGTAGCACCAAAATCCATTTAGGATCTGAACCTACATCCAACCAGTAATTAATCTGAAATTTTGCAGGTACTCCATGTTCTTCAGTCAGCTGTTTGATTGTATCGAATGGATTCTCCTTATAGTTTAAAGCAGAATCTGTAACTGTAGTGTGGCTAAAGAACTAAGTAAACATTGTGCTGCTGGTCTGAAGCAGAGGTTGTTGTTACCTGATTGTGTATCCTAGGTATCTAGAAGGCTTCCTTGATGTAGATGCAAGCCCACATGCTATGTTGTCAGCAAAGCACCAGATTTACCAGCTCATTTGCTGTCAGTAATGATACAGGCGGCTCATTAGTCTCTAGTGATGATCACACGTGGCAGACAGGCTCATGTGGCCTGCAGACCAGGCTCCTTGTGTCATGAGGCAGTGACATGCAGAGGTGTGTGAGACATGCCAGTGTGAAATCCCAATTGTCTCCCATGTTTACACCATTGGAGTAAGTTCAGATGTTGAGGAAGCTCCTGACAAGTCACTGAGGTCTCCTCTTGTAGCCACGCTAGTCATAATTATAGGCAACCAGGTCCAGCTTTTTATTACATAACCCTATCCATGCAGGGATGTTATTTCCCTAATTTCACATGGTTCATGTTTGTGTGAAAGCCCTTATTTTCAGTATAACTGGGGGAGACTATGCAGGTTTTTCCATTTTTGTAACAGTGTTTTGTACAGTGCCCTTCCTCCAAAAGTACTGTGACGAGTTCAAATTAGCCCATTATAGCTGTATGCTCATGATATTGTGATTTCAAATCGCAAGATGAATGAGAGAAAAGCAGAGAATATAGCCTTTTACCTATGGGTATTTTTATTCAAAAATGTTTTTCTAATACAACAGCAGCATGGTTGAGGTCTTTTAAAACTGCTTCTGAAGTTTTTCCACTTGAATTATTAAACACCAACATGAAGACCAGAGAACTTACTATGACGGAAAAGAAGGCCATTTTGAAAATGAGGGAAAGGAAAATGACCATCAGAGAAAAATTGATAAGACTCTTGGCATTGCAAAATCGACAATTTGGAATGTTCTTAAGAAAAAGGAAACAACTGGAGGAGTCAAGAATAGAATGTCAACAGGGTGTCCAAGGAACAAATACAGTGGAGGACGGAAAAATATTTCAAAGTAGAAAGAATATCCCCCAATTTTCTGAGTGGGGAAAAAAAATCTCAAGTACCACAATTTGCAGAAGACTTCAAGAAAAAGTCAGAATATGTATTGCAAGGTGTAAGACCCTCATCAGCAAAAGGGCTTGATTGAAATTTACAGAGATGAACTACAGGTTCTGGAACATGCTTTTATGGACAGAAGAGCCCAAAATAAATTTATCAAAGAGATGAAAAGGCTAATGTGTGGAGAAAAACAGAACAGCCAATGACCATAAGCATACCAATTCTTCTGTAAAGCATGGTGGAGAGACCATCATGGCTTGAGCACGTATGGAACAGGCTCAATGGTCTTTATTGAGGTCTTAAGTGAAGATGGCAGCAGTAGGATGAATTCAGAGATGTACAAACAGATCTTGTCTATAAATGTATGAAAAAATGGCATCAGATATTGGCAGTTCATTATGTTTCGGGTCATTGTTGCATACTGCACGCTTAACATAGGAGTTCTTCAGACATAAGAAGTGGAACATTGTAAACTGGCCAAGTCAATTACTAGATCTGAATCTAATTGAGCATATATTTCATTTGTTCAAAAGGAGACTAAAGGCAGTAACCCTGACCAACAAGCAATAACTTAAACAGGCTGCAGTTAAAGCCTGGCAAACCATCTCAAGTAAAGAAACAGTCTGGTGATGTCAGTGTAATGGAGGCTTCATGCAGTTGTTGCAAGCAAGGAATTTGTAACAAAATACTGACTTTTTTTCACTTCTTTAATTTGTTTTTAAGTGTCCCAGTACTTATGGTCACATCAATTTGGGGGGACTGGACACATACAGTATGCTTGAGTTGAAAAATGATAAATGTGTTTGCAAAACACATTCTAAAAATAAAAGTTGACTTTCTGATCTCTGACTCGGTAAAATTGTTTTATGTGAATTTCAATTTCTTGTGTATACAACAGGGAAACGCCAATGTAAGGCACTGTATATGTAAAAATAATTCATATTCATTATTTTTCATAATTTATGATGAGATATTGTGGAAGACCTTCAGTATATGTAAGCATAAATGCACTTTTGTTTTATTTGCTGACTTTATCCACTTCCTTTCCCTTTTGCCTCCATTCCTCTCAACACCAGGTATACCAGGACAATATTTATGCAGAGGGCTGCAAATTTCACTCTTTCAAGAAGGTGCTGTTTGAGATGGGCCCCGAGTTCTCCAACACTGTGGAACTGGCCTCCTTCCATTCCACCTCCAAGTGCTACATGGGAGAGTGAGTGAGCATTTCTAGAGATGCTGAAGATCGACGGGCATACAAATTCAAATGCACAAGAGTCCAGGTCTGCTGATTTCTGAATTTGTGGATCAGTGGACATAACTGTGAATGGCACTGTAAAAGACTGTAGTGGTGGCTCTCGGCCCGTCTCTCATCAGTCACGTTTGCCTGTTTGTGTTGCAGGTGTGGTTTCCGAGGTGGCTATATGGAAGTGATTAACCTGGACCCTGCAGTAAAGGCCCAGCTACTTAAGCTGGTGTCAGTGCGGTTGTGTCCTCCCGTGCCAGGACAAGCCCTGATGGATCTGGTTGTAAACCCTCCCCAGGAAGGAGAGCCCTCTCACCCACAGTTCATCAAGGTCAGTATCCAGACTGCGGTCCTGTGTTCCTCAGAACTCGCACAATGTGTGCATTGAAATGATGCACTGCCCATCTGCCTGACTCAAGACCCTGTTACTCTTCAAATGCGTTTTATGTGGTGAATCTTTCTAATCTGTTTCTAAGAGAGGTTTGTGACACAATTATAGACAAAAACAGTAAATTGGTAATTTCTTGATAGGTCTTAATTTGAACAGTAGTTACATTTTGTACAGAATTAGGCTGAGCATATGATTCCATCTTTACTGTAACAGTTTGATGAGACTTTAATTATATAAATATTTTATAAATATTAAGATTTATTTGAATTGCCAGTTGTGCTTCTCACATCTTAGCTCACAGCTATGAACCTCACAACTACACACAGGGGAGAATGAAATTGGAGACTCCTTTGAGCCATTCATTCTTTAACAAGCACTGCAAGAATTTGGGAGACTCTCAACAATTGAGAGTCCTGGCTGACTAATCCCCTGAAACATTTGTGTTGCCTTGAACAGTTAACCAGTGACACACAACCCAGGGTTGAACCTGTGATGAGATCAGCCTCCTGTTGTGCGAGTGCTTTTACTGAGGCCACTCATAATTTACTTTAAAACTGAACTGAAAAGATCCTTCCAATAAATCAGTAAGAATGTTAAACTTTTCACACATATAGTCTGATCATTGGCGGGATGAAAGTCAACATCTGGTTAGCATTATGCTTTGCTGTGCATGGGCAGTAAATCACCAGTTTTCAATTCTAAAGGTGTGCTGCATTTACAACAGCATGTAGTTGGAAAATCCTGTCCTGTTTCTATGTCCAAGTGAACAAAGTTTCACTGGTAATACGTACTTGGTGAGTTCCGAATTGTTTTATTGAACCTTGATTGAGAGACTAATCCTCCATTTGTGGAGTTCCCATTGGGGGAAAAAAAATGTTTGAAGTGTATTGTTTTACTTTATCCAGTTGGTAGTCTTAGGACTACCTGTAACTTCATACATCCTCATATCTGCAAACCGAGGAAACGCACACAGCTCATCAAGCCAGATAGCAAACACACTGCACCTTTAAAGCATAGCTCATACCCACTTGACCACGTATACTGCTCAGCTATAGAAATTGCACACAAATCTTTTGACAACCTGATTACAGCAGCATGTTTCCAGAACTCGAATTTCATCTCTCTTAATCTGTCAGGAGCGCACTGCTGTGTTGAGCTCCCTTGCAGAGCGGGCGAGACTAGTGGAGCAGCTGCTGAACAGTATTCCTGGGATCAGCTGTAACCCAGTGCAAGGAGCCATGTACTCTTTCCCCCGGATCAACATCCCGGAACGGGCAATCAAGGAAGCACAGGTACACTTGCTCGGTCTTATTTGGTTAGATATCTTGGTCACCCTTTTTATTTGTCTACTTCTCATTAAGGTCTGCAGCTCTATGCTGTCCCACAATCTCCCACTCTGCTTTGCCCCTCCAGGCAATGGGCCAAGCTCCAGACATGTTCTACTGTCTGAGACTGCTGGAGGAGACTGGGATCTGCCTGGTGCCAGGCAGCGGCTTTGGGCAGAAGGACGGCACCTACCACTTCAGGTATTTTCACCCGGCTCGGGTCCCCTACCATTGCCCCCTCCTGCCATCTCTCCCTCACCTGCTCTCTCCCTCCTCCCTAGGATGACCATCCTGCCCCCCACCGAGAAGCTGGAAGTTCTGCTGAGCAAACTGAAGGAATTCCACCAGCGTTTCACCCGCGAGTACTCCTGAGCCCTGTCCGGGCCTCTCCCAGCTGGGGCAGGGGGTGTGGGGCACAGCTATACTTGATCCACTCCCTCAGCTATAGACCAGGTGCTGCCTCCCTGGACTGGGGGGGAGGGAAGTTCTCCTTTTTTTTTTCTTTCTGCGGATTTTGTGATTAACAGTTCATGTTAAGAGTGATAATTCTAAGATAAAAACTAATTTCTGGATGATTTTGCAAAACAAATCCTAGGTATTTGTGGATCAGGACACAGGAGTTGTATCTCAAAGACTTACTCCTCTTCCCACCTCACTAATAGTCTGTTGTGGCCTGGGAAGAATATGCCTTTACCTTCTAGACTCATGGATAGGTATCAGAGCCCACAGTAAGTCCCCACAAATGGATTTACACTGCATTAATTGCCCTTTGACTTTCCCTGGTGACCCATAACCTGTCAGCTGACGTTATAGATTCTCTCTGGTACTGGCGCATGGAAAGCCCTTCTTTGACTGCAGCTTTGTGGCTGTATCTCTTGAGAAGAGAAGAGGAGGAAGAGCACAACAGTCTATGGATAGAGGCGGTCAGCTCTGAGGATTCCTGCAGCTGTCCAGGTTCTCTGTGACACTCCTAGGGAGTGGTGGAGGGCAGCAATATGTCTGTTATAGTAGGGTAGTCAACATATCTTTGAGAACATGGCACAGACATCTGGAAATATCATTGGAATTCTGAAAAAGAAAAAAGATATCTATTACCCCACCTGTTTACTTTGCAACTGACTGGAAAATAAACACTGAAGAGGTCTGCAGCTTTCCCCGTGTTCGCACAACCAGGGCACTGTCAAGTTCAGGGACTGCAGGCCTCCTCTCACCATGCCTGCAGTTGGCCTGTGTGTGTTGCTCCCCTCTGGTGGTAGTGACTGCACACAACATGCCAGGGTTCAGGTGTGTAGCTGTAAAGGGAAAAAAAGCTCACTACAGTAGAGCCATCTACTGTACTTCTCTGAAAGTCAGTTAAAAATTGTATAGGTGTGGATACAAGAGGTGAAAAAGGAAATATGTTTTTAAAACCTTATGGAAATGTTTGGGTTTTGGAACATGCATTGGGTTCTGCTTGGGAATACTCCCTTTTGTATGTTGCCCACATGAATGCAAATACTGTACAGTATGGTACAGTACAGTATTTCATTCCTACAGTTTCCATTTAGAAATCTTCTGTGGAACAGAATATCAAACTCCTGTTTGATGGCATTACATGATTAGACCAATTTTAGCAAAGCATTTCAATAAAAATATTAAATGAACAGTGCATTGGGTTAAAAATATTCCCAGTACAATTAGATATTTGCATACATGACTTAATTAGGACAGATGTGAGGTACGTTTGACTTAAATATCAACAATAACCATAAACTAGTTTGGAAATGCTCCACATCTCTGATCATCTCATTTCTGCAGGGTCGTATAGTTTTCATCTTGGTGATCACCTGATCTTTAGCCGTTATTTGCTGCACTGGCTGATTTACTCAGATTGATCTAAAACTGACTGGAAATAGTCAATTCAGCGACTGCCTTCTGTGTTGCAAAGGGAGCCATGAGTGGGACTGCAGTGTTGTGGTCACTGTGCTCTCTGAGAACTTTTGCCTAGGGTGCTCTGACTCTCAGGCACTTGAGTGAGGCCACAGAGCCATCTACTGTAGTTCTCCTTCCATATTAGAGCTGGAAATGTGCTAATAGAAAGGAAGACTGGATAACAAACCAGCTAATTGATCTCAGTCATACTTTGGCTTCAGGTGTTATGTGGTTCACCAATGTTCCATGCCCTGAAATAATTTGGGCATTTAGACCAGATTTAAAATTTATTGTATAGGCAATGGACTTTGCTTCAGGTAGATGTCTTTCAAATGTGTTGTGGTCAGGAGAAAATTGTTGTATTTTAAGAATTTAGTAAGGCATTTCTGAGCTGCAGTCCTGTGAACCAGCTAGAAGTCCAGCATGTCCTGGTTGTAAACTCTCTAAATCCATTTTAGAATGAAACTGGTGTTGCAGAATGAATAATATCACAAACTTAATTCTCCATTTATTGCTGTTTGATTAGGGAGCAGGATGACTTAGCACGTCTCCAGCACTGGTACAGGCAAAACTCTGTCACAGAGCAATGGACACTCCGACTGGACAATGTTACTGTGCTAAAACCAAGGTGCACACAGGCTTTAATATGTTCTGTAGCCTTTCTAACATGCAGAATACTTTGTGAGTTCTGTCATGTACTAAACACTTGTTCCACGTTTATATGGCAATTATACTTTCTACCTGAGTGACTGATAATTATTTTCTAATAAATTAATACTAAACTAATACAATTATTGTAACCTAAGCCTTAATTGTGTGAAAGTGGAATGATTGTAAATTGGAGACGAAACAGCACTTTATCTTTGGGACAATGGCAGTCAAGACTTGTCTGTTTTAACTACAGTGGCTATAACTGCCAGGCTCCCATTGTACCAATACATTTCAGGATTTTGCACCTGTACAATGTATCTGAATATAATGAGAGGTGCTTATTTCATGCTAGTTGCCTTATTTTGAGTAAAATGGTGTGAATGGATTTAAATCTTCTTGTAAATGTATGTTTGTACTTCAGGACAAGTTACAGCTTGTTAAACCTGTAAAACTGTCTATCTGCTATGAAACTGGAGTCACAGCATCACCTCATTCCTATAAGGCCAGTGTCTCAGAACATGTATGTCTCTGTGGTGCAGTTCCAGTGTTGTCTCTGTACTAGAGAAATCTCATTAAAATTAATTGAAGTGTAGGGGGCAGTATCTAAAACCTGGAGCAGGTGTCACTGGATATCTTTACAGGTTGGCAGGGTCACACACACCTCTGCCTCCACCCCTCAGTTTCTGTATTCACGGTGTGAAGAACACTTTGTAGTGCTGTTTGAACAGATTGATCTCTGCTGCTCCTTCAATGTTAGTTTTCTGGAGAAGAATCTGGTACTGTGCTTAAGGTAGCACTGCCTTTACATGTTGCCTACTGCCAAGCACTTGAGAATTTTAAATACTGGTGCCTTATTTCTGGTGCTTGTAGTATACCGTTCTGGCTCTGGAAAAATGGAAGTCTGCCTTCTCTGCAACCACCTACCCGCGAGGAAGCAGAGAGGGTGCAGACTGTTCTCCAACTTAGGCAGGATCAGGAGGGGATCTGGATATATCATTGACTTAAAAGAACAGACCCTGACCCTGAGTGCTTCCATTCCAGCCTGCACTAGACCTCAGCTTCACCCCTCACCTCTGGGCTTAGCTTAGATGGTGAATATAATCAAAGCCATCAGGATGACTACACCTCGCACTTCCTCCAGAAGTATCTACTTCTTGTTCTTGTTCCAGTTACTTATAGGCTTTCAACACTGCTGGTAAACTGCTGCAACCTTTCCCAATACAAAAAAAAAGACATGAGTAAAAAGTCATTCCTAGGCAAGCATAAAAGCCAAAAAAGAAGTAGAGGTGGGGAAGGGGAATCGGGGATTGTGGGATCTGTTGATACTCTGGGCCAAGTGACATATTCATGTCAGTTACTTTTTTATGGTTTTGGTGCTCCAGGCAGACAACTGGAGATGAAGCACTGAAACACAGGGCAGTCACTCCCTCCCTGTAAGATTTTCTGTCTTTTAAAAAACCTGCATGATTCTCCGAATTGCAACCATAGTGCTCCTTCAAGTACCTTTCAGTGCCACTGCACAATTAACAGTTGTTGCATCTGTGTTCCTCTATCCTGCCTCATCAGAATGTGGCTCCGAGAAGGAAATTTGCACGTCTTCACAATTCACAATGCCTTCTCCAAAGTGTTTAAGGTTAGAAAGGAATGACTCTACAAATTGTGATATAAAAATGGTATGGTGTTTTACCTAATGAATTAACTGCGATCATAGACAATAAAAATCTATGCTAGTAGATGTGTTGTTTTTTATTTCTAAATAGAGGAAGTGCAAGATGAGATTGGGGCTATATTGAGATAAAGATCATGTGCTGAAATGCAACTCATGTGCTTAATTTCTTGGATAACACCTTTTTTCAAACAAATTTAATTCAAATCAGTCATGTCTGTGCTGGATGTTAAAGATGCCACACCACTGTTTACAACAGCAAGCAGATTAAATTCCCACCCCCATTCTAGTTTGGAAAGAGACCTTAATTCCACTGTTTTTGGATTAGATGCTCATGTAAAATTAATGCTTACTGAAAGAGTTTCTTGTTCATTTAATTTTTATCTGATCAGAGCATTGGGTTCTTTACAATACATGGTCACAATTCAGGGGATGGGGTACCCTACTCTATTGGCAGAGGTTCATTCTAAACGTTTATACTTAAAAGAAACAGAAAGCCAAATGTTATTGTATAGTGTGATTGTTCCGTAATAAGAAACAATAGTAGTAAATTTCCAAAATATGCAAATGTGGAAAATGACTGAAGACAGTAGGGAAAACCTGGTGTGGAGGCATCTGTTGAAAAGTCAGAAAATTGCTCCAAGCAACAGATACTGTATGGCACTCAACACTCCCACTTATATCTCTATTAGTTTGATCTATTAAGCACAAGTGCAAGGATGAAATTAGGATCAAAGTCAAATTAAACAAGCTACAAGCTAACTAAAAGATCAGCGATTTATGTATAGCAAACCTGTAAGTGTCAGAAGGAAGTGAGCTAAATTTTGTTTACCTTTTGAAAGGAAATGCAATAGGAGCTGTTGTGCAACGTTGTTGAGCTTTGTGCGATTACTGCAGCTGTGGTATTGAAACGCATTACAGGCTTGAGCAACTACACTTAATTGTTTGTGTTTTTAGGACTAGAACATTAAGCGAGGATTTGCTGAGGCACAATAATGTTGTCATTGGTTACTCAAACTTAATTCACACAAAAAAAATAATCTATTGTGCCAGTCACTTTTCCACCAAACACTCAGAGTACCTCTGCCTTATCCATGATTGTGGACAACCTTGAGTAGTTCAACAACCGTAAACAGAACAGTTATTAAGATGGAAAACCCTTTGCACCAACTGGAGGCTTGATAGAAATGCACTGGGCTAAAAAAAAGTGATGAATTGATGAATATTGACAAACTGTAAAAGAATGTCATATTGACAGGGTGTATGTTCACAGCAAGCGCTAATTGACTCACTTGTATCAGAAGTTATCCTGTCTCGTCAAGACAGGATAACTTCCATATTTCAGACTATACATTTTCATTCATTAAGGTATATTTTCCAGTCAAATGGAAGACTGTGGAAACTCTTTGAAGAAAGTCTGAACCCTAACCTAACCCAAATCTTTAGATAGGGTTAGGACTCCCAGCCACAAAACATAGACAATTCTCTATGGTATGGCTATGTTTTAGGACAGTGAAATTTAGGAAATGTTACTTCTCAATGTTTTTTTTCTTACAGAAATAGCTTTGTGCACTACATTGCTCTAAGAGGGAAAGTTGTCTAAATTGCTCTAATTTTTTTCTTACATACAGTATATGGCTCTTTACACTGCAATGCCCTAACAATGGCCAACCAACATTAACACTCCCAAAACAAGTCTTCAAATACAAACAAAATAGGATTTATTGCCTTCTACCATGATTACCCAAAAAATACACAACTCGCAGCTCTTCTCAACACATCTTCTCTCCAAAGCGACACCCTGCTACTGGCATCTCCCAGTCCCTCTTATAGCTCCTCCTTACCTGGGCCCATCCTCCCTTAAAGGGACTTTTAAAGCAAATAAAAATACTTTTATACAAAAACAAAATAACTTACACCTGTTACAAAATCATAACCTTAAGAAAGTTTTGTGAGGTTTTTTATACATTTAGCAAGGAAAATAGACATACAGTATGTTAGTTATTTATGCATGGCCTACCATCATCCTTTCCCTTTAAGAACAGCAGTTTTTTTTGTACTGCTAATGTGGCTGCATGCGAAACTAAAAAGAGAAAGATGACTGGTGGCCATTTTGCCAAACAAAACACCATACTTCAAAATGAGGAACACTGTGGCGATTTATTGGAAAAGGGGGGGTAAGTACCATTTACAATTCAAATGTATTACTTACATACTCACTAACATACAGGAAGGGTGCAGGAAAGGTATTGGAGAAATGAAATTAAATTTAAGAAAAGTGATATTTCAATGTTATCTTCACATTTGTTTTCTTGCATATATGGCTCTATACACTGCACTGCCGTGAATGGGAATGTTATGTAAATTGCCCTTACCGCAAAAGTTTGAAAGATAGTGGTTAAAGCTTTCAAACTGTTGCATTTGTATCGGATGCACTGCAATTTTAACAGATTCAGCTAAAAACTATTGGGTATTCTTGACTGTTAACCTATTTGGCCAGCAGCCATATCACCCTGCAACTCACAACTAGCAACCCACTGAAGCTAAGCAGGTGTGAACCTGGTCAGAACCTGGATTGGAGACCTCCTGGGAAAAACTAAGGTTGCTGCTGGAAGAGGTGTAAGTGGGGCCAGTAGGAGGCGCTCACCCTGCGGTCCATGTGGGTCCTAATGCCCCAGTATAGTGATGGGGACACTATACTGTAAATAAACACCGTCCTTCGGATGAGATGTAAAACCGAGGTCCTGACTCTCTGCAGTCATTAAAAATCCCAGGGCGTTTCTCGAAAAGAGTAGGGGTGTAACCCCAGCGTCCTGGCCAATTTCCTATTGGCCCTTACCAATCATGGCCTCCTAATAATCCCCATCTATGAATTGGCTTCATTACTCTGCTCTCCTCCCCGCTGATAGCTGATGTGTGGTGAGCGTTCTGGCGCATTATGGCTGCCGTCGCATCATCCAGGTGGATGCTGCACATTGGTGGTGGTGGAGTTGAGTCCCCATTACCTGTAAAGCGCTTTGAGTGGAGTGTCCAGAAAAGCGCTATATAAGTGTAAGCAATAATTAATTATTTAGCCATGAACCTATGTTCATTGAGAACACCATTCATCACTTAATTTTCGATAACAGAATCCTTGTTAAACAATAAGATTGTACCATAGCTGATACATTTTATTTGGTTTGGCAAGGTTGCTTATTCTTTTCAAGCTAATATTTTGATGTCCTGAGTTATATTTTCTGCTCAAATGAGTGGAAGGTTGCATTAATTCTTTGGAGAAAATCTGAACCTTAACCCTAATCTACCCAAACCCTTAGCTAGGGTTAGGGTTAGAATTCTTAAAAAACAGAGAGGGTGTTTGAGGTTATTTTCACATTTGTTTTCTTGCATATATGGCTCTGTACACTGCATTGTCCTGCATGGGAATGTTGTGTAAATTGCCTGAAAAGCAAGAATTTGAAAGAAAGTGGTTAAACCTTTCAAACATTTATGTTTTGGCTTTGAATACCCAGGCTTATGAACAAATAAAGCCTAGTTTCATTAGGTATTCTTGGCTCTTAGCCTAGTTGAGCCTGAAACCATGCTCATTGAGAAGACCTCTAAATATGAACTTTCCAATAAGTCAATACCTGTAATGAAATAGAATTTTCCTATTGTAGATATATTCTCTACCAAGTTCGCTTACTTTCAGACTTATATTTTGATTCATTGAGATTTATTTTCCTCTCAAATGAGTGGACAGTTTTAAAAAAATTCTGAACTAGGGTTAGGATTAGGATACCCACAAAAAACAGACAATTCTCAGTGTAATGGCTGTGTGTTAGGATAGAAATGTAAACAAGAAAAAGGCTTCTCCCAGCTTTACTAACAATGAATGATTGGATTGAATTAATAAAGGAAATAAATATAATGGAAAAAATAAAAATTTCGCTAAAATTACAAATGAGAGAATTTGTCAAATATCGGTCTAGGTGGGTTCAGTACATTAAACCTTTAAGGTCAGAATGTGTTGACATACAAAATAACTGAAACTTAATAATGTACATTTATATAGTCTCCTCCCTTTTCATTTTCATAAATGTATGCATCTTCCTCATTTTGAATGTACTGTATATAATTTTGTTTACAAGTTATATAATTGTAAAATACTAGGGGAACAAACAGGAATAGACAATTTGTGCTTGAGATGCATAGTCAAAAGTGTACTGTAAAAGTAAGGCTGAATAATGGTGGTTTATATGTAAAATGGTTTGGTTTTGTTTTGTTCTCTAAAATATATTTTTTTAAAGAAATGTAATTTAGGAAATCTGATATCTCAATGCTATCTTCGCATTTTTGTTCTTACTTATTGGCTATTTACACTGTCTTGCCCTATAGGGGAATCTTGTCTAAATGTCTGTAAAAGCATGTAGCAATAGCAACAAATGAATAAAAGCCACAAAAAGTGCCTTATTGGAGAATTTATTTATTCTTCAATGATTGAAGCCTGGCCAGGATTAAGCCGATTGATTTGTTTAATTTCAGATTTAATTGGGTAATTGGTCCTATTATTAGTAACACCTGTGTGAGCCAGGGAGGAGCTTAGGGTTTTAAAAGGATGTTCCTCTTATGGGGAAGAGAGGAAGGAATAAATCAGAAGAAGTCAACTAGCAAGAGAAACCATAGCTTGCCTGCCAACAGACCATAAACCAGTATTCCAGTGTTTCTCATAGCAGGAAAACCCTTGTGAAGAAAACATTTGTTTTTTACATAAGCACGGCAAAAGAAGTAAGGACATTTCACAAAGGAGGAGGGAATCTTTGAGACTTCTAAGGGGACTGAGGTACCGCTATTAAGGACCCAGGATTTACAACATCTTCCAGGACAGTCTAAATATAATCGTGTTTACTTTGCTGCAAAGTGCTGTTCTAATTGTTTTGGAGAAAGACTCCTATTGCCTTATTTGTTTCACGGTGGTTTTAAATATTGGATAATATTCTTTGTAATAAAAATTTGTTTCACCTTCTGAATTTATCCTGCTAAAGTTTATTAACTTTGAGATACTTTTCATAAGCTTGCTTACTTTTCAAAATTCTTATTAGCTGTCAATTTTGCCAATAGTTTTCAAGTTGGATCGTTACAAGCAAATGTTTGAATGAAAGTGTTTATACTTTTAACACTCTTGGATTTTGCTTTAAAATACAAAGGCATATAAACAAATAAAGCCAAATGTTATTAGGTATTCCTGCCTCTTACCCTAGTTGGGCCTGAAACCATGCTCACTGAGAACACCATTCAATATTAAATTTCCAGTGACTCAATACAAAAAATAAAATATTACTATTGTAGATATATTCTCTTTGGATTGTCAAAGTTGCTTAGTCATTTCAGACCAATATTTTGACTCATCGAGGTATATTTTCTACTCACTTGAGGCGCAGATTGAATGGAAAATTGTGGAAATTCTTGGACCAATCTGAACCCTAACCTAACTCAAATTCTTAGGGTTAGGATACCCACAAAACATATGCACTTCTCAATGACATGGCTGTGTTTTTGGACAGAAATTAAATTTAGGAAGTGTGATTTTTCAGTGTTACCTTCACAATTTTTCTTATATAAGACGTATCTTTTTCATCTGCACCATTGAGGCATAAATGCATATTATTGCTTTTAGGTCAGGGCTGTCTAATCCTTGTCCTGGAAATTTGATATGTCTGCAGGTTGTCATTTCAACTCAACTACTTAATGAGCTAAATAGTCTAAATATTGACTTAACTGCACCAATATTACAGCTACACTGAGTTCTTCAGTTTCTGGAACTTTTAAGAGCCTGGAAAACCTTCAGAGACACTGACCATCCATGACCAATTAGCGTGAGTTACGCAAATGAACCAGACGTCTTAGTAAAGAGGCGAATTTCAAACGGTGTAAGAGTTCTTCAGCCACAACAGTAGTGTGTAAAGCGAATAGCAACAAGTGTCAAGCAGCTAAAACACCAACTTTGTGTCATGTTGGTTACTTTTAATTTCTTGAATATTCTGCTAAATTTATAAGGGTGTACTGCATATCACCTACAATGATTCCCACCTCTGACAAATTTGACAGCATGATTCTTTCTCTTGTAAATTGTCATTACTGTAATTTTTTCCCATTGAATTAAAAGCATTGTGAAATGCAAGGTTTTAAGGGAGCAGTATAAAGTATACAATCAGTATATTTAACCATAACCATTGACAAAAACATTTTTTTTCACCATCAAAAGTGGCATAACATACTGTACAGTGTTGAAACCCTCAGCCAATAGCAATTCTCCTTCCATTCAGTTTTTAGTTTTTTACTAATATTGTTGATCTGTATGGAGCATCTTTGGCAAAACTGCAGTGCATTGGTGGGTAAGGAAAGATCTTATTCCTGACTAAACACAAATTTCTGCTTCTCCAAAAGTGGCATGAATCTATTTTACAGATTCACAATAGAAAATCACCTTGGTTTGGTCAGGTTAGTGTCTTTGCAAATGTTGCTGGTGTTTAAAGAACACTTCCTCTTCCAAGACTGGGAGAATACAGTGCTGGATGGGGAATAGTCTCACTCCAGACCAAACAAAAAAAAATGTGCCTCTCCAAAGGTGGTTGCAATCTATTGTACAGACCCACAGCTAATAGTAAATCACCATGGTTTTGTCAGATTAGTGTCTTTGTCAATTTTGCTGGGGTTTATAGTATACTTCCTGTTGCCAGATTGGGACAGTGCATTGCTGGACATGGGAAAAGTCTCAAATAGTCTTGAAATGTTTCCCAGAATGGGGATGTTATCATAAAGTGATACTGTGTGACAGTAGAATGTAATATTGCATGTGCTCTTTAACCCAAGGCAATTGTTCCTGATGTTATTCCTATAGATTTGAAACACAGTGTAAGGATGCTTACAGTAGTAATGCAGATATTTGTGTCGATTGTGTATTAAAAATACATCATCACAGGTATTTTGAGAACACCGTCACTAAAATTAAAACACTTAAAAGTTAAGATACTGAGATGCCCCTGATGACATAACACTAGATTGTAAGGACAGCAGTAATTTTAAAAATCAAACAACAGTAAGATAGAACACACAGTATTATATCAGACAAAGTAATAGTGACCTTTTTCAGTGTGCTATTTTTGAAGACTCTTATGTTGATGTTGAAAGCTTAGAGAGTTTAAAGTTGTCTAAGCCATTATTTGATCATTTTCACAAGATACACATTAAAGATTTGGTGGATATAAACAAATAGGAAAAAATTGGATTAATTCATATTTTGGCTCTGAACTTGGAATTGTTTTAAATTTCATTGCATCAGTTGAGTTATGGTCAGGGTTATTAATAGGCCTGTTACAGCTATACACAAAGACAGATGGAAAGCATATTGACAAGACTACATCTATCTTTGAGGAAAAAGTTTAAAATAAAGAAAAAAATAAGGGTTGATGAATCTGTGAATCACTTAACAATTTTCAAAGGAAGTTTAGGGACGCTTGTGATTGAATTTATCAAGAAGTCCCCTGCCCTTGTAGAAGAGGAGGAATGAAAGAAAAGAAAGAGAATTACACAATGTCTCAAGTCTTCATTCCAAAAATCCCCATCATCTTTTGTACTATATCTAGATGATAAATACAAAATTAATTATCAAAATGGTCACAGCAAGTCTGGCAATTCAGGTGAAAGTCACAATCTGAAGTGGTGAAGTGAGTCAACAAAACATACAGATTGGAGAACACCCTAACTTTTATCCTGGTACAAAGGTAGCTTTAGCATTTTTTGAAGCCTACATTTAAGGGGAAAGCTCCCTTAAGTCCACTTCAAACTAGAAGATAAGTCTGTAAACAGTTTAACTATTGTAGTGATGACTGAGTCATTAATCAAGGTGTTAGAGGTAGAAGAACCGCAAAATGTGTAATTAAGCACTCAATCAACGTTGAATTAAGCACACAAAAATCAAATCATGTTTAAAATGTACTGAATAAGAATATACTGTAGCATTTCTAATTATGAGGATAGATAGAAATGACCAAAAATCTTTTGGTAAATCCAATGATGAGCAATTGTTTCAATGTCACATAAAGCAGAGATGCAGTGAAAAGCATAAGCACTGGGTGGAGTGAAGTTTGTTAGTTTTTCTGTGTACTAATCAAATTTGTATTTCAGATAGAATATGAGTTTCTGGGTATTATTTTGCACACATGTATAGAAACATTAGAGAAATTGCAGGTGATCCTAAATACTGGGACAAATTTATTTAAAGTAGATTAAACTTGTGTACAGTAAATATAGTAAAGCTAAAGTACTTTGCTGCATAACCCTTACATGCACTGACTGCTTCAAGTCTGTGTCCCATCAACATTAGCTTACACTTTTCTGTATATGAAACTGTATATGAAACTTGGTAAGCATAGATGGAATGCAATAGAGCAAATCTGCACTGCTATTGATCATTTGTTTTGCCTGAGTAAGTCTGAACATCTTAATTGCATGTATAGACCATAAAAGAACTAAGACCACATACTGCGGAAGTTAGTGATGTTTAAAATGGTCCCTGGGCTCAATTTCTGTGTGGAGTTTGTCAATTCCATGTGATCTTTACAACTTCCCACCCTTCCACAAACATGCTATCTGAGTTAATCTGTGTCTCTGGACAATCTCTTTATGTGGGTGTGTGGGTGCCCTGAGATGGAATGGAGTCCAATTTGAGGTGAGTACTGTAGTTCTTACCTGCATGCAGTGTTTGCTAGGTGAAACACAGAATGAAAACAATGAAACAGCTGTTGAAAACAGATGGATAGTTTTTTCTATATTTATTTTCATTAATTACATAGGATCTCTGGGATAATTATTTAGCGAGGTCATTTAGTCCATGAAATGCATTAATTGTAAAGTCATCCCTGTGAGCATTCACCCCTAGCATGACCTGGAAACCCATAGCTAAATCTTCTTCCTAAACAGGCGTAAGAGATTCAGATGTGTACATTCCTCTCACATTGTTTCCTCATCACACTAGCATTACACTAATGTAGTTGGTATAAGTATTACTGATAAACAAGTCCCCTTTCAAAATAACTAATCTCCTTAAAAATTACTCTAACATAATGCAACATAAAATATGATTTAAAGTCTTTCTATAAAGATATTAATCGGCCTGTTTCCTTGTACCCAACCTCTATCCATCCAGTTTGGGAGTGCTCCTTCCAGTTTGGTACATCCAACATATACAGTAGTTCAGAATAATGAGAACTGAAGCTTGCAGTTCAAAAGGTTAAGGTAATTAGAAAATAGTCTGCACAAATGAATTAATGAAGACTTTTAGCAGTTAACGTCTCAGAGGCCTTGGTAGTTAATCTTGACAATCTTTCACTCCAGGCTTTTAATTAAATTATCTGTAAAAAGGAATTGCTTTTTTGTCGTTTTCATTCTAAACAATGCAGAGATTTTTGATCCACCAGTTTACAACTGAAAAACTTTTCTGGGAGTATTTCCAAAAGGTATCTTGTAAGACATTAAGGGATCTGCCCCCCCAGCCCTGGGAAATACTATTCAGTGCCAGTTTAGAAGTCTGTCTAATGAGATATATTGATGATTGTGAGATAAACAATAGAAAATAAAAACCTTTTCAGAAGTTTCCAGATGCAACTAACACATTTTAACTATTTCCTGGCACAAATCCTATGGAGATGTCCCTAAAAACAGGTAAACACAGCATGTTAGAATGTGTAACCAAAAGGAGATTATAAAGACACTCAGTAAAGCAGTCAGAGGACTGGGGTTGAGGTCCCCTGCACTGGGTGGATCAATCAACCTGCAATCATTCAACCCAGTTTTGCTTTGTTGGGCACCTTTTCAAGATGAGCATCTCAAACTATATGAAAAAGTACCACAGCTAGTTCTATAAAGAATAGTACAAAACCAGACTTCAAAACGTTGCTTCTTGGGGAAAAAATGTAGTTTTAATGGCATCAGACATAAATATGGTTTTTACAATTGTACCAAACCACACACTCTCATGATGCCCATATTTAGTAATGCTAACCACCAGATTTCGCGAAAGCAATTACTGTTGAATGATTAAATCACAGAATACGATGCAGGCTTCCCATATCACACCAGTTAAAGACCTATGGTGAGAGATTAGGTTTTCAGACCAACTTTCTCATGAAGCTGTCTGACTTTGTCTGAAGGCAAATGTGTCTGACTGGTTTGGAAATGTTTCTCTGGACGACGGAGTCATTAAGAAAATTCCTGCATGAATCTCGGATGGAAAGAATTCAGGCGGTCCAGCATGTCCTCCATGGTGTCCAAGGGAACCAGGTTACACAGCCTGGGGAAACACAACAGAGTTATTAGTAGAGCTTTTAGATGCACAGTGTCCATCATGGGCTGTGTTAGTGAGCTCATCCATATTGCTATGCAAACTGGTATATTGCTACAGTGTACATGGCACATAACAAAATCTATGATCAAAGAAGCATTCCTAAAGCAGTGAATCTAATAACCTTTCAGTCAATTACAGTACTGTGCAAACTGCAAAATGTGTCACTCTGACCATCCTAGTTCCCACAAGATAATGCAGCCAATCAGCATTTGAAAAGCACCATGAAAAGATTCTCTAGGATGTTTGTGAGGACAGCTCGGAAGTGACAAACTTTCTAAAATTATAATGTTGGTGGTATAACTGTGGCCAGGAACGTTTACCTAAAATTATTTTTTTTCCCCCAACAGTCTTGCAATCTTTTTTGCCATCAGAAATATGCAAATGCAATATGTGATGAAATGAATGTGCCTCCTGCCAGAATCGATTCTCAAGTTCAAACATGAATACATGTAGTATTTAAGGCCTGTTACAGCTGGTTGTAGAACTTGGACTTTTGATTTTATATTACCTATAAAATACTGTGGGACATGCAGAGCTGTATTAAATTTGTTCAGTCAAATAATTTCATGAAGTTGTGATGTCTTGAGTCAGATGAAAGTCTTTGGGGTGAGATGTGGCCCTCAGGCTTCTGGGATTGGCAGCCCAGTGTGAACAGGAAGAACAGGGTCTGTACCTGATATGGTAGGTGCCTTCCCTCTGACCCACGTCACAGCCAGGAGTCGAGCACACCCCTGCCTCCTCCAGCAGCCTGCTGCAGTAGAATCTGTCAGGCTCCATCCCCTCTGCCTGGACAGAGGAACAAAATGGGTGAATAATTAAAAAACCTTTACACACACAAACGCCAGTGTATAGCTGTGTAAAGAAAACAGATAACTGTAGTAAATCCTAGCATTAACACAGCACTCTCTCTTACAGACCTTGTGTGGCTCATTAAGTCAGTGCATAAAATTGTTTAAATTTTTATTTACTGATTTATGTAGTAATTAAATTGCATATTTAATAATATCAGAACAGAAAATGCAAACGATATATAGAAGGAGATTATACAGTAAAATGCCATGAACAATGAAAACAAATCTAGTTGCAAAGCAAAAATGAATTGCATCTTAAAATGTGACTTAATCTCAAAGGACATAATATCCAGTTTGCAAAGAGTTCGATTCTTTTGAGGTTCTAAAATTTGTGTCTATTGTCAACATCTACAGTAAGCCTGTCATACTCTGTCCCTTTACATCCACTTTAATTTAAAATGCAGCCTTTCACTCATATAACAGCAAATAGCACGACTGAAGACTTTCTTTAGAGCGGTAATATGTGGAAAGGCTTGTGGATGCTAGCTCTGTTAATGCAGGTGGTGATACTTCACTCCTTGCTTGTTCTGCTTTAACTGCTCACCCTGGCCTGCTCTACAGCTCGTGGGGGGAGGTGCAGGCGGGGGAAGATGTACAGAGAGCCCTGTACAGGCTGATAGCTGACTCCAGGCAAGCTGTCCAGAGTCTCCTGCACTCTCCTGGCATTGTGGGCCAGTGTCTCCAGAATGGCCTGGGACTCCTGTGAGCAGAACAGAGGGTCAATCAGTATACATGTTTGCAAGGTGTTTAATAAGCCGATCTGCACTGCCATTTTAAACTCGTGTCCAGCAAGAATACATTCTGGGGATCAGTGAGTACATTTTCATTGTGAACAAGGAGCTCTATGGTGCTAAATTACAAATACTAAATAAATGGCTGTGCATTGGCAGTTGACGACGGACAGGGATCAGTTCTTTCTCTTGCTGTCTCATGCGGATCCCTGAACTTTTCTCGTTCTGACTGGTTTCTAAGCCACACAATCTGTCACAGACGGTTCAGAGACACAGCTGTACTGCTACACTCACTAACTCTGACGGAGGACTGCACTCTACTCTGGTAATCTGAATGTGTTTTAAATTTTAGTTTGGATTATGATTACTAGATTTAGAGATGACACTGTAGCATGTTGCTGTCCCATAGTGCTGAGGCCCGGGGTTCAATTCCTGGGGTGCTATCTGTACCCCGTGTTCACTTGGGGTTCCTCGGGATACTCTGGTTATTTCCCATAGTACAAAGATATAAAGAACTGGTAGGCTAATTGGCATCTGGGAAACAGGCCTTGGTGTGAGTGTGTGTGCGCTGCAATGGACTAGTGTCCTGTCCTGGGTGTATCCTGCTTTGTTTCTATTGTTGTCTGGGATAGGCTCCACCTTCCCTGTGATTCTGAATTGGATAGAGTGGTTAGAAAATGGATGGATGGATTAGATTTAGATGACATTCACCTCTAAATGCAACACTACAGTATTTTTCCTTTTTCACTCACTATGCTAATATCCTAGGCTGAAGGTGTAACATTCAGCCAGGCCATGGTGAGATCTAACTGAAATGGTCATAAATGCCAAAGAACTGTGCGTGTCTGTGAAGTCATGCTGGGTGCAGACCAATGGAGTTAGGCGCCTACTGCTTTGAAGATGGGGTAGGAGGGGTCTTCGTGACCCGGAGGGTTTGTCATAATATCCAGGGCGATCTGGCCAGTGATGGAGGAAGAAAGATACATTTCGAAAAGCCTGATGGCACACTTCTTCACCTCAGGATCAAGGTTCACAAACTCCACATACCCACAGCGCAGCCCACACCTGCGAAGACAGGGAGCAGCCTGCCTAACAACCAGTCTGTCTCACTCCATATACTGGAAACACTCACATTCCTTCAATCAATCTGCATTTTGTATTTTTATGATATACACATATACCGTAGTGTCATTCTGTAACATGACTGTAAAGCCTTGCACTTTAGAACCAGTAGAGTAACAATACTGGTAGTGACTATAGTAAAATACACACCAGAAGTGTATAATTATCATATTGGGTCAACATTTAATTTGAAATGTTTACACAATTACTTTTGCTTGCACCTCACAATTTGGGTTTACTTCGAAGTTTTTGGGGTTTGAGAAACCATTCATTTTCATGCACACAGTATTTTTCAGAATAAAATATGTTTTTTAGTTTCTTTCCATTCTACTGGGCCAGGTGTTTTAATTTTGTAGGCATAAACATGAAAGACTGCTTAACTGTATGGTTGTTCTCCCATTGTGTGGCAATAGTTAAGTTACACTGGAGTTTGTTACACTGTTACAGTAGTTACACTGTTACGTTTTTGGAATCTCAGCTAGTTCTTGTTCTTTTTCCCACTTATGGAAGACATTTAAACCTTTTACTGATATGCACAATATACTATAGAGCATAAATCCAACTGCAAAGGAATCTTACACAAATTAATCCAGAGTGGATAATTCGTAATATAGAGTAAGAAAGGAATGGTGTTGTAACCTTTTTTGGCATTTTATTGACATTTTTCTGTCCTAAATTGAAAAGTCTGAAATAAATCTTATTTACTTAGGGCTCAGCCTTCCAGTCTTGATGCAATCAGCTTTAAAAAAAATCAGGAAAGGCATTCTGTTCAAAGTAACAGAGTACAACCACTTACAGGTGGCTCAATGAAAGTAGAGCTCTTGAAGGCAGGTGTATTTAAATACCAAGATACATCGAAAAGAGCACAATTTTGGGGAAGTCCCAGAATCCTTAGCAGCAAAGGAAGAAGTGAATCCCATTTGAACAGATACCCCTGTGCAAAATTAGCACTGGTATTTGATGCAAAAGGGATGAGTGAGAGAATTTTTATTCTGATCAAATAGCTGTAGATTTAAATAACTGGACATACAGTACAAAACTGCCCTAGCACTTACTCTCCTGTGAAGCCTTTGGAGACAGAGTGCAAAGAGGCCAATTCTACCATGTCGGAGTACGAGGGCCCCATCTCATACAGCACCTTCTTATAAGAGACAAATGCACTGCCCTCACCAAACACTGTCTGCTGGTACACCTGTAACACAGACAGAGGCAGAGAAATGGGAAGAGAACATATGTGAGAAAGTTGGAACCAAGACATCAAAAATCTGAATAATGAAGATAAAGTGTCTCACAACACACAATGTGTCAAATGAAGGAAAGTTGTGATTGTGATGAGGCACAATCAACAGGGCATTCCAGCACTGAGAAAATCATGCAAAAAAATAATATTTTTGTAATAGTTCACATTTGGAATATATTAGTAATTTTTATGTCTATATATAAATACAAATAACTACAAGTGAGACCTCATTTAGAATACTGTATGCTATTGCGATCACCAATCACAAAAAAGTATTCCTGCACTGAAATAAGTCCAGAGAGTGCAATTATATGCTTTCCAAGACTTAAGAGAATTTCCAACACTTTTTAGCCTTAAACAGACAAGTGTATGAGGGAACCTGACAAATCACAGGACATAAATGTAAACTACATGAAAGTGCTTAATTGAAAACAAGGGACACTTCCTTACTGAAAAGGTAGTAGGAATATGGAACAAGCTAACCAGGGCAAGTTGTTGAAAAACAGTAACCTAATTTCTTAAAAAAACAACTGCATAAAATCCTCAGATCAATTAGCCAGAAACTACCAAGCAGGATAGGCTTCCTTGTGTTTGTAACCTTTCTTACAGTTTGTTCTTTTGTAGTGACTGCCCAGTAGCACATCAATTTGCCAAACAGTTTGTCATACTGTAAACTCACCTCATCAACCAGCAAGAACAGCTTCTCTTCCGCGGCAAATCGAATCACCTCTTCAATGGATTCCCTGCTCTGTACGTGGCCTGTTGCAGCAGAGCAGAGGAATAGAGTCAGTACCCTAACGATCTGATATCATGTGATGACTTCCACTTGGTCAAAGGAGAAAAAAGTTGTTTGTTGGTCCATCAACACAGTTTGGAAAACAACTTGGAACCATTTTTTACAATAATTATTGTGCGTAGGTACCTCCTGCCCCAGTCATATCTGGACAACTTGAGACGGTGTGGAAATAAAACATAATCCTGAAATAAAATTAATATAAACTCAGCATTAAACATTTATTTTTTTATTAGGGACGCAACATGACTGTATATTATACTGTAGGTTTCTTTTTAGACAAGCAAAAACCAAATCAGTACAATACATTATTTTTTAAATTTCTTTCAATCATCATTCAGTGATGTGGTCCTAGGTTTTTTTGAATAATTAAGATTTAATGTCAGTTTTTAAAGCTTTAAGGCTAAAGTATTCATTTGTAAACACCTGTACTGTGTCATGTTGTCCTGGAATGACAAGATAAGATGGCAACCTTAATTGTTGAGGGTACACACAATTGTTTACCCATTGTAAGGAATATTTAAGGGTTCTTTATGTAGTATTAACTGCGTAGATAACTGAGCATGAAGGAATTATCATAAAAAGACTGGTCATATGATCTCTTCTTTTGTGAATGTTTTGCTTTGCTTCTGTTTTGAAACCTGAACTTAAAACACTCTCTCTTAGATCATGTGGCTCTTCGCAAATCCAATAAGGGCAAAGGAGGAAACACTTCCAGATGTGTACAGTTAAGGTTTTTGAGGCTTACCTGTGGGGTTTCCTGGGTTGATGATATACAGTGCTCTGGGGCTGCAGTGCCCTCTAGCTGTTTGGAGGGCTCGGCGCAGCTCATTCACCTGCATGTCCCAGCCTTGCTCCTCTGAGAGGTGGTATGGCACAATCGCCCCTCCAACCTCCAATACTGCTATTTTGAAGTAGCTGTACGAAGGCACTGGCATCAGCACTCCTGTCTGAGCGTGTCCCTCTCCATGCACCAGAATCTTCAGGATGCACTGGTGCAGATGAGAAAAAATGTCATCAATTCATCAAATCGTCAATTACATCACACTTTTTTAATCACTTTATTCTTCCTTGACCTGTTTGTAATCTGAAGGCTACAACTCTTCATACAGTGACAAGTCATAAAATCAGTCTCTGAATGGATGGAAGACATGAAATAGCTGCTTAGTCCTGTGACACAGGTGTACTACAAGCTAAGCTCTAAGCACACCAGCAGTGCAGTGCTTTATCCAGCTTGATCAATTTAGGATGTGCTCTTGTCAAATGAGCTACCATGGCTCTGGTATTGTCTTTATCCTTAATTGTTGTTAAAACAGTAGCATAAAACATTTAAACCACTCCCACATCTGTGAGATTATCATAGGAGTGGGACTCCATAATGCTTAATAATTATTTTGTCTTGTTGCAGACTCTGAAGTCGACTTATCTGTGAATTAAGATTCAGCTGGTTTGTTATTAAACAATCTATCACATTATCATAATAAAATAGTAATTGTAAGGAACTGACATCTGATCTCAGAAAGTGTTTGCACAGGATGGCCACTGCCAAGAAGCAGCCTAAACAGGAAATATACAGGTGACTGCCAAAATAAAGAAAACAGTTGAGTAAAAGAGGGATACAAAGTATAGTGAAAGCAGGTGCTTCTACACAGGTGTGATACCTGAGTTAATTAAGCAATTAAAACTCCCATCATGCTGTATAATTTCCCATCGGCCTTTATCAATCATGGCCTCCTAACAATCCCCCTCTATGAATTGGCTTCATTACTCTGCTCTCCTCCCCACTGATAGCTGATGTGTGGTGAGAGTTCTGGAGCACTATGGCTGCCGTCGCATCATCCAGGTGGATGCTGCACATTGGTGGTGGTGGAGGGGAGTCCCCATTACCTGTAAAGCGCTTTGAGTGGAGTGTCCAGAAAAGCACTATATAAGTGTAAGCAATTATTATTATTATAAAATGCTGGGTAGACTCAGTTGCACATTATTTTGACTACCGTGGCTAGAAGAGATCCCAATGACTTTGAGAGAGGGGAGATTGTTGACGTTTGGCTGGAGCTTCAGTGATGAAGGCTGCTCAACTTGTTGATGTTTCATGCGAAACAGTGGCTAAGGTGGTGTTGGCATGGAAGTCTGAAGGAAAGACATCGTGATCTAGAAGCAACTGTAGTCAAAAATGCATACTCCTCGACTGTGAAGTCCGTACATTGGTTCAAGATGCAAGGCAACATAGACGAGCAAGTCCGAATCAATTGACTGCAGATGTCAATCTAAGACGTAATGAGGTAGTTTCATCAAGCACAGTCCATCGAGAACTTCACAGAGAGGGATACTATGGTTGGGCCGTAGTGCACAAACCATTTATTACACCAACAAATGCACTTTTGCGAGTAAAGTGGTGCAAAAGACACATGCAGTGGAAAAAGGTCATATGGTAAAATCAGTCACCCTTCACCCTGTTCTCAACAAGCTGACGAGTATGTGTGTGTGCACACGTAAAGCTTAAAGGCTTGAGTGCTTGCTTCCCGCAGTGAAAGGCTCTTATGGTGTAGGGTGCATTTTCCTGGAATGGTTTAGGTCCACTCAACCCCTCAGTGGGCAAAGTGAAAGGGGCGGTGCGGTGGCTCTGTGGCTAAGAATCTGCTCATGTGGCTGGGAGATTCAAATCCCACAGCTGGCAGAGGAATCCTACTTTGTTGGGCCCCTGAGCAAGGCCCTTAACCTCAGTTGCTCCAGGGATGCTGTATAAATGGCTGACCTTGTGCTCTAACCCACACGCTTCTCTCTCCCTGTCTGTGTGCCTGTGTCTCGTGGAGAGCAAACTGGGGTAAGCAAAAAGTTCAATTCCTAATACAAGAAATTTTATATCTTATTATTCTTCTTTTTTTTCACAGCCTTAGTCCCAGACTGTCCTGGGGTCAGCTGCTTTGGTTGCTCTTCTCCACTTGTCTCTGTCGAGCACATCTTCCTCACTCACTTCACATACCTCCATATCTTTTCTCACACAATCTATCCATCTCTTTCTAGGCCTGCCTCTTCTTCTGTTACCTTCCACCTCAAATTCCATTACTCTCTTTGTTACTTCCTCAACGTCCCTCCACTTTTATTTTGGCAGGTATCTACATATGCATGTATGAAATGGACACAATTTTAATATATAAAACAAGCCCTAGAAAACCACCAGAGAAATCCCAGTATTTTCACCTACTTAAACACCTGCTTGACAAATCATAAACAATCTGAACACCACAAAAACATGTTTATAATTACATGGCAATGCCAAGAAAAATGAAATGTATCTCGATTCCTCATATTCGCCGGATGGTGAAGATGCCTTAAATAACTCCATTCCCAGGAGCAGAATGTGAAGTAACATGTTTTCCTTAACAACAGTGTTAAGGCTTCCTTAATGGCAGAGAATGAGGTGTTAATGTGAACACATTTTGAGACAAGCAATACTTTTAAAGATGTTGATCTAATGTGTCTCACCCTTATGGCATCCTGTCCACCTGAAGTGATAAAGATATTATCGGGGTCAGAAGGCACCCCCCCGTCTCGCTGTGAGATGAACTCTGACACACTGCGTCGAATGCTGACGATGCCGCAGGGAGGTGAGTACGAGCCTGGAAATACATACACAGTCACGCACAGCGCCAGTACAGACAGAAGTGAGGCAAGTCAGTATTGGGTGTTGAAAAAGAGTGCATTCACAACCCGTTAGTGATGTGTGAATTGGGAGGCATTGTGTGCAGGTCCAGTAGTTACCAAGACTTCCTCCTTCACAGTTCTTCAATAATCTCTGGGCTCTCTGCTCGACGTCAGAAGGGAATCGGTCACTGTGGAGAAGCTCGGGGTACAGACAGACAGCCAATACCTGCACAGTACAGAAAGACAATTAGAGGACAATTTCAGGGTTACCCTTTACCACTGTACAGTAGTAAGTCCCAGTATTATACAACTGTCCTCCATCTAGAGATTTATGGTGCATTATCCAGGTGGATGCTGCACATTGGTGGTGGTGGAGGGGAGTCCCCATTACCTGTAAAGCG